GGAAAGCACAAGAGAAAGTAAAAATCACCCCAGAATCTACTACCTAGAGATAATCATCATTGGCATTTTACTGAGCACAGTTCCAGATATCTCTCTGTGCTGTACACATACAAATAATTGCATGACTTAGAAAAGGAGAATATAGGTTTGCATATCTCCATTTCTTTGCAGTTGCATTGTTCTTTGGGCAGGTACAATATACAAGATAGAAGTAGCTTGCAGGGAGAGAGTCATGATGGTACCATCAACTTGCCCATCTGTCCACTTTTTCCCCATACTTCTAAGGGAAGTAGGGCAACACCGAGGGAAGAAGAGCAGAGTGATTAATTATTTCTGTATCTGTTTGGCCAGATCACTGAGAAAATGGCTTTTCCAGGTGAAACTCAGGGTTAGAAGTAAGTACTTCATTGAGGCAAGTCCCAGAACAGTGGTGCCTTTTGGGAAATCTATTAAGGAGTCAGTCTGTCCTAATGTGTATTCCCTGGGTCTTTAATTCCATGGTGTGTGAAAACATATCCTGTGATCAAGAACATGTGGACGTATAGAGGTTAAAGCAGTTAAGCAGGGTTCTTCACTAAATAACTTCTCAGAGGCCTTAGATGGGAGTGCAGATAATGAGACTCATAGGGCAGGAGACAGAATCAGGGCTTCCCCAACCTTTCAGCCATAGCAGCCTTTCTCAAGAAGAATCACCCAAATCTGTTCTCTTTGAAAACTTCAGGAAATGGCTTCTTTACTAGTCCATTGCACTTTAAAGTTAGTTAATATAAGTTATATGTACTTTTAAAATATGTCAAGTTTAACAAAAAACATTTTTCTGATCATAAAATAATACATATTCACTACAGAAAGTTTAGTACATAGTTGAAGGTATGGTGGAGAATGGAGTACCTGGGTGGTGCAGTTAAGGTACTCAGTGGCTAGGCACCTGGGAAGAAAGCCCTGATGATTTACTTGAGAAAAACCAGCCATTAGAAACCTTATTGAGCACAGTTCTCTGACCCACATGGGGTCACTGTGAGTTGGAATTGACTCCATAGAAAGTGTTTTGTTTTTATGTTTTTAATGGTAAATAAGATTAAGATTACCCATAATCACACCATTGGAAGTAGCCAGAATTCACATTTTGAGGTATTTCATTCTAGACCATTGTCTATATATGTGTTTTATATATAAAGTATATCTTTAAGAAGGGACTGTAGTGTGCATATGTATAATATAGAGTATGTTGTTGTTGTTGCGTGCTGTGGAGTCGGACCCGATTCATAGCAACCCCTCCTTGGGTTTATGAAGTGGTATCACTATGGAAGTAGATTGCTCAACCTTCCTTCCGAGGAGTGGCTGATGGGTTTGAACCGCCAGCCTTCTGGTTAGTAGTCAAGTGTCTCAGGCACGACGCTACCAGAGCTCCTAATATAGAGCATAGCCACCAAAAAACTCCAAACTCACTGCCATTGCGTCAATTCTGACTCATAGTGACCCCCATCGGGTTTCCAAGGTGGTACATCTTTTTTTTATATTTTTTTTTATTTTAAGAGCTTGTTTTACATTCGATGTAACACGTATATTTAGTTTCATTTCACATTTGCCATGTCCAACCCTAACCCAGTCTCCTCCCCTCCCTATCCTGCAACCCTCCCCCTGTGCCCCTCATAATTATGCACTCCTGTTTCTTCTGCATTTCCTCAGTTTGAATGTTGGTCCTCTGGTGTCCCATGGTCTATTGCTCTAAGGGATGTATTACCATAGAGTATGTGGGTGCGTCATCCTGGGCTGAGTGGTCTGTGTGTACATCTTGTTAACTGTTGGGCTGAGAGCCCGCGCCTGGGGGTGAGTTTTATTCCAGACGCAGAATGTATTCCAGGGCCATAGTATTGGGAGTCTCACCAGATTTCATCTGACCAGTAATTCTGGTCATTATTGAGTTTTTGGATTTTGTTCCACATTTTCTCCAAGGCGGTAAATCTTTACAGAAGTAGATTTCCCCGTCTTCCTTCTGCAGAGTGGCTGGTAGGTTTGAACTACCAACCTTCTGGTTAGCAAGTGCCTTAGGCACTGCACCACCAGAGCTCCTATAGAGTATATAGACTTTTTTTTTTTTCTCTCTCTTGGATAAAGAATTTTCATTTAAGAAGAAGAAATTTTATTCCCCATGATGGAATTTTTTAAAACTTTCTTTTAAAAAAACAATTTTATTTTGGAATGATTTTAGGTATTTATAGAAATATAAAGATAGGTCTGATGTCAACACTATATATATAGTTTATATAATGCTTTTTCTGTGTAGAAATTTTCTCCTAGCTCTGTATCTATAAAGTGAGGTTTTCAAATGATACTCTGATAAAGCAGGTCCACCTCTTTTTGTCTCCCCAGGTTACTATAATAACAGCACTAAAGTGGCTGTGAAAACGCTGAAGCCAGGCACCATGTCAGTGCAAGCCTTCATGGAGGAAGCGAACCTCATGAAGACACTGCAGCATGACAAGTTGGTGCGGCTCTACGCTGTGGTCACCAAGGAGGAGCCCATCTACATCATCACGGAGTATATGGCCAAAGGTGTGTGCACCACTGGGCACCATAGCTTTTAGACACAAGTGGGGCTTGTAAAACCAAAAGATGAACTAGTTAAATGGAAAGAGAATATGCAAGTGTTTTTCAAACAACATACGTACGTACTACTGAAAAATTTGAAAATACAGGAAAGCAGGCATTTTCATAAACCTACTCAGCAAAAGTAACCACTGTTAGTCTTACTATTTTCTGTATATGTCTGCATATATGTGTTGGCCTTAAAAATAGTACACAGTACATAGTAGGCCCTATGTAAGTATTTGTTTAATAAATTAATATGTATTTCAAATAAGAGTATCTTACCAAGATTCTCTCTTTTAACCTTTGCAATAGTATGAGAGGTAAGCACAATCATTCCCATGTCATGGATGAGATAGTGTGACATTTTTTAACCACTCCCCACTGCTGTCAAGTGGATCCCAACTCATAACGGCCTTATAGGACAGAGTAGAACTGCCTTCATGGGGTTTCAAAGGCTATAAATCTTTACAGAAACAGACCACCACATCTTTCTCCTTTGGAGTGGCTGGTGGATATGAACCACTCATCTTTTGCTTAGCAACTGAGGGCTTTATCCACTATACCACCAGATGTCCTATTGAGCACTTATTATCTGGCAAACACCAACATGCCTTGAATCCATCATCCAATTGCATCCTCGCAGGAACTCTGATACAGGTACTAGGGCATGCCCATGTTACAGAGAAAGAAGCCAAGGCTTAGAGGAGTTAAGTAACTTGCCTAAGTCTACACTTAAGGTTGGAATTTTACATTCGAGGGGAATGGGCAGGAGGAGTGTTTGGTTTTAGAGAAAAAGCTGTAAGGGAGTGTTTGTCAGCACAGTGCCTCTTAGGTATATGTCACTTTTTCCCAAAGCCCAGCTCATTCATCAGTTACTCATTGAGCACATACTGCTGGTGGTGCTGAGTTCTGTTGCTATGTACAAATGGAGTCAGCCTTAGCACAGTGCCTGCTGTGGACAGGACTTCAATGAGAACTTGCTGGGGTTCTGTTCCAGGAGAGCTACCTAAAGATCAGGTGTTGCAGTAAGTATATCATAGCTGCAGGTACACAGTGCTGTGAAAGTGCCTAGCTTTCAGACACCTGTGGGAGAAAAGTAGTATCCAACTCTGCCCTTTCTTATAAAGCACACACTACTTTTCACGTTAGATCAAAGGTTAGAGGAAACTGGCTTTGACCGCTCTCAGGCAAAGCTTCTGTAGTCATACAGCATTGCAGGGCCAATCAATTTTCTAGGTCCCCCGTGCCCACCCAGTAGCAATGGGTGGTATAAACAATTAAGCACTCAGCTGCTAATTGAAAGATTGGAGGTTCAAGTAAACCTGATGATCTACTTCCAAAAATATCTGCTCTTAAAAACCCTAGGGAGCATAATTCTTCTCTGACAAACATGGTCACTATGAGTTGAATCAACTTGATGTCAACTGATAGTAATGATGACCATTTTCAATTTTTTTTTTCTTTGTGTTTGAACTCCACTAACCTGTTTTAACTCTACACACAGGCAGTTTGCTGGACTTCCTGAAGAGCGAGGAAGGTGGCAAAATCCTGCTTCCAAAGCTAATTGACTTTTCTGCTCAGGTGATGTATGGAAAACCATGTAGCCTCTAAGTTGTTCAAGATGAGATTATTTTCTGAGGACAAGACATCTCCTTTGGGTGTTTCCCAGTAGGAGTTATGAGGAAAAGATGTTAAGAAGTCCCCTCTCTGAGAACACAATGATGGGAGTTTCATAGAGAATGTAGATGCATGTACCTCGTTTTGACTGGGACGTCTTCTATCTTCTATAAGACCAGTAAACCTCTCTGTTTATCATAGTCCTTTTCCCACAAATAATAGGATAACTACAGCAGAATTGATCATTTTGGTAGGCGTTTTAGAAAAGGAATTTCATGCAGTTTAAGCTCCAGTCACCTTCAGGTCAGCTCTAACTCAAGGTGACCTAGTGTGTTAGAGTAGAACTGTGTTCCACAGGATTTTCAGTGGTTGGTTTTCCAACGTGCCTCTGCATGTTTAAGGCATTCTGCTGCTAACCAGAAGGTCAGTGGTTCAAACCCACTAGCTGCTCCATGGGAGAAAAATGAGACAATCTGTTTCCATAAAGATTTACAGACTTAGAAACCCTCTGGGGCAGTTCTACTCTGTCCTATAAGGTAGGTATGAATCAGAATCGACTTAATGGCAGTGAGGTTTTGTTTTGGCTCTACCTCTTACCCAATTGCACCATCCAGGGTCTTTGCTTTAAGCACTAAACCAAAAAACCAAACCCACTACCATGGAGCAGATTCTGACTCGTCAGTGACTCTATAGGACAGAGCAGAACTACCCCTTAGGGTTCCCAAGGCTGTGTATCTTTGCAGAAACAGACTACCACATCTTTCTCCTGCAGAGTGACTGGTGGGTTCTAGTAATTCACCTTTTGGTTGGCGGCTGAGTGCTTTAACCACTGCACAACCAGGGCTCATTTTCTGATTTGAGTACAACACAAAAATGCGATGCAACAGACTGCCATCGGGTCAGATCCGATTCAAAGCAACCACTCCTTGGATTTCTGAGGCAGTGTCTCTACGGAAGTAGATTGCCAACCTTCCTTCCAAGGAGTGGCTGGTGGGTTTGAACCGCCACCCTTCTGGTTAGCAGTCAAATACCTTAGGCACTATGCCACCAGACAGTATCTTTTAAATGATACCTATGTGGTGTTTTTGTCACTCATCTGATGTACTGATACTTGTAAGTTATCAGTATTCTTGAAAACAGAACTGTATCTGTTTCCTACTCTAACCTTTCTTACCCCTTCTTGTTTTGGATATTTCATTAAGATCCTGAGAAATATTTATTCATAATTATTTCCAGTACCAGCCTAGAAGTTGCAAATTTGTTCATTTTGGAATCTCATGTTTCCTCAAGTATATTACAGCAAAGGCAAGGTACCCAGAAACATAGTAATGTACCTCTTGGATCAACGAAATACACACTTGAATGATGCCAGCTCTTGGCTTTTAATAATTTGATTGCTTTCTCAGTACTGATGTGAGTCATTCCTATTGGGAAGGCTGCTATGAAGCCTGACATAGCACAAGAGAATTCTGGAAGTTCTAGGAAAGGGTGATCATTTCTTACTACCATTTATTCCCTCAGACCCTCTTTTAGTGGAGAAATTGATAAGATATTGTTAGGAATATGCAATAAACAAAACAAATTAGTACACAGGTAAAATACTTCAGGTAACATAGGGTCAGAGCTCACCATCAGGAGTAAACTACTGTGGAGCCAGCTGGACTGCAATATCTCAGGGTTAGATTTCTGTCCTAGCTCTACCACTGAGTCACTGTACCACTTTCAGGAAGTCGTTTGTCTCTTTGCATATAAAATTGGAATGATAACTCCAAAGAGGTGTTGTTGAAGAGTCAAATGAAACATGCTAGGAGGTGCACACTTCATTGGAAGCTGGGAAACCTTCAGGAGTTGGTCCCTATATCATCTCACCCACCACAACTTGGCAGACTTGTTAGATGCTGTCGAGTCACTTCCAACTCATCCAAAAACTCACTGCCATTGACTCCTTCCTGAGTGACCCTGTAGAGAACAGAATAAAGTGCTGCCTAGTCCTCCACCTGCCTCACAATCTTTGCTATACTTGAGCCTATACTTGCAACCACTTTGTCAATCCATCTCGCTAAAGGTCTTCCCCTTTTTTCATTGACCCTGTACTTTACCAAGCATGATATCCTTCTCTAGGTACTGATTCCTTCTGATAATATGACCAAAGTATGTAAGACAAAGTCTGGCCATTCTCACTTTTAAGGAGCATCCCAGCTGTACTTCTAAGACAGATTTGTTCATTCTTTTGACAGTCCATGGTATATTTAGTATTCTTCACCAAGACCACAATTCAAATGCATCAATTCTCCTGCAATCTTCCTTATTCATTGTCCAGGTTTCACATGCTTGTGAAGCTATTGAAAATACCATGGCTTGGGTCAGGCACACTTTAATCTTCAAAGTGACATCTTTGCTCTTTAACACTTAAAAGAGGTCTTTTGCAGCAGATTTGCCCAGTGCAATATGTAATTTATTTCTTCAGTGTTGCTTCTACAGTTGTTGATTATGATGTAAGTAAAATGAAGTCCTTGATAACTTCAATCTTTTCTCCATTTATTATGATGTTGTTCTTTAGTCTAGTTTTGAGGATTTTTTTATTTCTTTATGTTGAGGTGTCATCCACACTGAAGACTGTAGTCTTTGATCTTCATCAGTAAGTGCTTAGAATCATTTTCTCTTGCAGTAAGTAAGGTTGTGTCATCTACATACTGCAGATTGTTAATGAGTCTCCCTCCAATCCTGTGCCCCATTCTTCTTCATACAGTCCAGTTTCTTGCATTATTTGCTCAACATACAAATTAAATAAGTATGGTAAAAGGATACAACCCTGACACACATCCTTCCTGATTTTAATTCATGTAGTATGCCCTTGTTCTTTTGAAACAACTGCCTTTTGGTCTGTGTACAGGTTCCTCATGAGCCAAATGAAGTGTTCTGGAATTCCCATTCTTTGCAGTGTTATTCATAATTTGTTTTTATCCACACAATCAAATGCCTTTGCATAGTCAATAAAATACAGGCAAACATCTTTCTGGTATTCTTTATTGTCTGCCAAGATCCATCTGATATCAACAATAATATCCCTCATTCCATGTCCTCTTCTGAAACTGGCTTGAATTTCTGGAAGTTTCCTGTCAATGTACTACTGCAACCATTTTTTAATTATTTTCAGCAAAACTTTCTTTGTGATATTAATAATATTGTATGATAATTTCCACATTCCATTGGATCACCTTTCTTTGGAATGGGCACAAATATGAATCTCTTCCAGTCAGTTGGCCAGGTAGCTGTCTCCCAAGTTTCTTGGCATAAATGAGTGAGTGCTTCCAGCATTGCATCCATTTGTTGAAATATTTCAATGGGTATTCACTCAGTTCCTGAAGATTGGTTTTTCACCAGTTTCTTCAGTGCAGGTTGGACTTCTTCCTTCAATACCATTGGTTCTTGATCATATGCTACCTCCTGAAATGGTGGAACATCAACCAATTCTTTCTAGTGCAGTGACTCTGTATATTCCTCCCATCTTCTTTTGATGCTTCCTGCATCATTCAGTAATTTGCCCGTAGACTCAATACTGTAACTCAAGGCTTGAGTTTTCTCTTTAGTTCTTTCAGCTCAAGAAATGCTGTTTTTGGTTTTGTAACAACACCCTTTTGGTTTTCTAATTGCAGGTCTTTGCACATTTCATTATTATATTTTACTTTGTCTTCTCAAGCCACCCTTGGAAATCTTTTATCAGCTCTTTTATTTCATCATTTCTTCCATTTGCTTTAGCAATTTTACATTCAACAGCAAGTTTCAGAGTCTCTTCTCACATCCATTTTGTTTTCTTCCTTTCCTGTCTTTTTAATGACCTTTTGCTTTCTCCATGTGTGGTGGTTACGTTTGTGTGTCAACTTGGCTGGGCTTGGTTGTGTGGCCAGGCAGCTGAATGTAGTTATTCCCCATGGTGAGACTGGTAATTAACTCCATGGGGTAATCTATTGGAGGAGCTGAGTAGCTGCTTTGAATATGTGGTCTGCTTCCCGTATTTAAGAAACAGCTTTGGGACTGGTCTCTAGCTTATGGCACGCTTGAACCCTGCATGTAGCCATGCAGCCTACCATGCTCTGCCAGCCTTGGGACTTTTGGTGGACTTGAATTAATGGCCTGCCATGTGGTTTGGTGGTTTGGTAACATCGGGACTGTGCCTTTTTGCTTGTCAACCTTGGGCTTGTCAGTCTTAGCAGCCAGCAGCTGTCTGAGTGAAGAAAAATCTCTAGCTCCAGGGGGCCAGGAACAGGAGGGAAAGCTGAAGCCCAACACTGAGGGGCTTTAATCCAGCCCATAGAACCTGGAACTTTGAACTAGGACTTACAGCCTCCAAACTGTAAGAGAATAAACTTCTGTTTCTTCAAGCCCATCCCGTTTGTGGTATATACTTATCTGAGCTGCACTAGTGCTTGAACAATTTCTCTCAGAAAGATCAGCACAAGGCTTGTCCCCATGAGGCAGAAGTTAAAGATGTCCCAAATGTCCAAACTGCCATACCACTCCGTCATTTCAGACATTAACTCCTCCTCCTCCTCCCAGTAATTTCCCCAGTCTTAGGGTTCTGTATTTCACTGTAACGCCTCACAGAACTCACAGACACCCAAGGGTTCATCTCATGTAGTAGTGGTGAAGGCTGGCAGGCTGGCGAGTCCCAGGTCCGTGAGTGGGTCTGGAGGATCCTCCTAATTTTTGGGATTTGATGAACTTCAATCAGCAGATCAGATGATGGCTCCTGTCCCAAATCCAGGGGTGAGATGAGGATGAGCCAAGAAATAAAACAGGAGCAAGAGGAGTGTGAATCTTCCCAGGAGATTCGTAGGTATACCCTCAAGGAAGCTAAGGGTGGTGATTTGAATTATACCCTCTAGCAAGGCAGGACTCAAGATACATTCCACCTGTGTTGCCCCAACAGAAATAACCTAAATCCCATCACAGAGTCAATTGCC